AGGGGGTTCGATTCCGGAGATACGGCAATCTAGACACGGCCACACATCAAAAGGCGCTTAACCGTTATCTTTACTTGCCGTAGGGGTCATACTATACTCCGCACGCTAAAATCGCGTTTATACATGGTGAATTTCGTCGATACTGCATGCATGCGACATCCGTGTCTGGAATTCTCAAGCCTCGACTAAAGTTGTTTGATTGCTTACGAGTTCGTGGCTAACCGGTCGTTGTTCTGCGTGCTATGTTGGCGAGAGTCTCTTATTCTCTGCGGCACTTTTTGCTCTACGGTGCGTCTCGAAGAAGTCTACGGCTCACAGGCAACCACATACATGCCAGAATCGGTTTTCGTCCACGATGAGGAATCAAGGCCCCACTGGCCACTGACTAGTGGAGTGGCTCAAGTCATGGGCCGAGTAGAGTTTCGCCGACTGTGGTCAAAACGGGCCTCGAGTTGAATTTCGGCGCTAAGCCGAGTAGGTATTGACTTCATGGCGAATTTCAACCGCCCGGCCATTTGTCGGGACTTGGTCGCGAGACCCCCAGCCTCGGCCGTTTCGAGCTGTTTTCAACCTACTCATGGGGGCGTTTTAGGACGTAGAAAGGTCAGTGACGTGTTTGTAGGTATCTCGAAATAAATCTACTCCACTTCTTTAGCCCTCATTAGGATACTTTTTACCAACATAGAGTTGGTGTTGGCAACAACGGCTTACTCTCTTCTTCTAAAGTAGAGCTTGAAGGCAAGTATGCGCATTTGGCGTAGAAGTTAAATGTGCGAGATTTACAGGCCGGCGACGTACTTTCTTAAATTGATATTGCGCTTGGAGAGACGCGCACTTTGACGTTGACACAAAAGAAGCTAACAGTGAAGCTCTTTAGGCGGAGTGGGGGGCACAGGCGGGCTCTTTCCGCTTTTTGCGGAGAGGAAATGGGCAAAGGAAAGGATGACGCTTGACACAAGGAAGTTTTTCTATGAGGAGCTCACAGTGAGGGAACTTGCACGCTACACAAGCGCGCCGCCTGAGGCACCCTGGGCGGTGGTGCTCAGGATCGTGCACAACCACGGAGCCGGGCGGCCAAGGTCGGGGTAACTTCGGGGGGAGCGAAGTCCTTGAGGGACTTCTTCGCGTGTTTGGGGAAAACATGGACACGCTCGGCGTTCCAGAAAGAAGTACGTCTTTTCAATGTACATAACGACGGTTACTTAATCGAGTTTGCAGCCAAAGATGGCGGTGTTTGACTTTAGAGGCGAAGTACTTGAGTGCGCACGGGCGGTAAAAGAGGCGATCTTATTTTGCAAGTTGTGGGAAGACTTTGGGATGGACGTAACTTAGAACGGTTCAAAGCTATTGCAACATCCAAGGAGCTTATGACAACTCTTAAAGCATCCGATTGCTCTACAACGGTGGAAGCACATGGACGTGTGTCACCATTTCGCGCTGGAGAGGACGTGGCGCAAAAGAAGGTCGATTTGCGAAGTTCAGGACGGAGGGCACCATAATCAAGGCGTTGGCACTATAGTTATTCTCGAAATGAAAGAGCAAACTTCGAAGATAGGAAAATGAGTAGGATGCTTAGTGCGTGAGAACAATGTCGATATTCGAACAATGCCAAATGTAGTATTATAGTACCGTAGCCATACGCTTCAAATCATAGCTGTTCGATTGAGGATGTTGTACGCCGGAATTGGTTTTTAAAATTGCAAGTTGATCTATACACGCAATATCGACCGTCCAATTGGAATTTTCAACCGCAATTTCAATCTTGGTTAATTATATACCCCCCTCTCAAAAGTTACCACAGGGATCCCCCTACAACATGACCTTCCCTTAAAGTGTGGGCGTCGTGGTACAAAACCGGTATTTGTCGTACCAAAAAACGGGAATTGGCTAAATTGCCGTAGCTCACGCATCGGATAGCGCGCTCCGTGCCAAACGAAACATGACGGGCCTAGCTCCAAAACCTACCTAGTGACGCACGTCCCGGCTTGAGGTCCGTCGATGAATCTTTGTGCGCGTGCACAGCTAGCCTAGTAGTTGCCCGGCTCAATCTCCGGTTTGCACACCGGCGCGGCGGTGCGGTCGCGCATTGGTGTGCAGCAGACTACTAAGACTAGCTTTTAGAGTGCGGAGCTTTCAATCATGCAGAATCAATCATCAATCACAAATGAAGCGTCCCATACCACTCAGGTTGAAACAGTCGGTTTGCCACTGTCTCAGTGAAAGATCAGCTCTTACTAGCAATGACCCCTGCTTTGTTGTCACTTTTGTTAAGAGACGCTCATGAATACAGTCATGAATTGGTGAGTTCACGTCTCGGCAGAGTTGATGAGGCCCTTCACCTTCACAGACTTGCTAGAAGCGGGTGTGATATGATTTCACTTGTTGCAAGTACTAGTCTTTCAGTTTTGTTATCTTGTGGCCGAAATCAACGCGACTAATACTGCGTCACTTATAGTGGTAAGTCAGGACAATGCAACAATCAACGAATGAACTAGTGCATACCACTTGATATCGTTCACATAGTATGCAATATATGGAATCACACTAAGCTCTTTCAGATTCCCGAATCAGTTTCTCACGAACTGAATCAGTTTTTATCGGCACTTGTTGTCACCGCGACCATCTATCATACAGATCATATAACCACGCAACACTGCCTTGTCATGAAGAACGTGCTTTGAAGACGACTTGTGAACAGAAGGCAGGGTGCTGAAAGGATGCTTTGATGAGTGAATGAACAGTGCTAAGTGGGAATTCCGAGCTTAGCAGAGTTCCCTCGTCAAATGACTCTTTGCTCAAATCTTGCAAAGCGGATTTGAATTGAAATGTGACGGATTCTAGCTTTTGATATCTGCTAAATTATTGTGCTTCTTAGGTACGCTGCCCCGTCATTTTTTTGCCAATGCAAAACTGCAAATCTACACTGCATACGAGCACGCCAACCTCATACAAACGAATCCGCATGTATCCTTACAAGTGATTGCTTCAAGCAAATCCTATTCTGCTTGGCTTAAAGATCATATTCTTAATCATAAAGTAGCTTCGTGGATCCTCATGAAGGTTCATCAATTTGGCGTGTCGTTTCTAGAGGCTAAGTCGACAGGCTATAAGGTAAACCAAATCCGCCTATCTAGCTGGCACTGCCAAACTACTGCCATGTGAAACTAGCTTTAGTCTATCCGGCGCCCGCATATAACTTATGCAGATGCGCCCAGACCTCCAACTTTTTCTGCCCAGCAACTCGAACTCTGCACTGCTGTGCAAATGGCTTCCCTTTTAGTCTCATGGCACTGAAGACCTCACTCAAAATCCTTTCGAAGTTCTTTGGCTGCCCCACCTAGAGGGGATCCCTTTGTTTATCTTCTTCCTAAGCGGCATTCTAGTCCCCTGGTCCAAAGATGGGAAGAGGAGGAGGGCAAGGGGACTTTCTAGAATATCCAGCGGGGTCTTCACCGTTGAAAGAGGAACCCCAGAAAATTCTCAAGTGGGTGACGTATTGTCCAGATGGCGCTCGCTTACGCTCAAGACCATTGTTCGTGCTTGAGTTGGTGTCACCATAGCGCCGGCGGTCCGGTCTGCGGTGACTAGTCGGGCAGTGGGCTCGAGGAACGGCGGCCCGCATTTGTGGAAACCTTCGTTTGCGAGTGCCCCCGTCTCGCCGTTGAAAAGGCGGCCTTCCCGACGCGTCAAGCCGCTTTTACGTCCTGGTTTCGACTCTGGTTGGATCCGAGGCGTCCTTCCCCTGGGGGGATGCGCTTTAAGAAAAGCGATCCGGTTTGCTTCTGTAATCGACTTCTCTTGATTTGCGGCTGCGTTGATCCTACCAATTCGTACCAAAATGAGGCCCGCGCCGCCACTCTTGTCTTCTCGGCTGTTCCTTCGCACTCCCCCATTTGAGTATTGTGCTGCTCAAACCGCTGTTTGCGTGCCTTGTTGAGATACGGGCATTTAGAGGACCGAATCTCTGGGTGATTGTAGGGTTTTAGGATCACGACGTCGACGGTAATTCGACAGCAACTAGAAGTTACGGTTGCACGGTTAAATGCGCGCGGCTTACAACGTTACACCCGAATAACTTGGCAATAACCGTCGATATTGTGTAGATTCGATAATGGCCGTCGATGTTCGGAAGTATAGAGTGCAATTTTCGGACTTACTAGGTGACGGTCCACTGAGCCTACTCGGCTAGAGTGTAGACCTAGTGATAGGCCGTGACTCGAAACACTCCATATACATTGTCTGAACTTGATTGATTGCATATCACTTCCAACAACGCTGTATTTCAACACGCCTCTTTCCCCCTTGTCCGGATTTGAACCCACAAATCTTGACGAGAGCTTGCGCAAGCTGAAGGGCGTGCTCTCTGCTTTTTGTTGCGAGTGTTGAAATAAACGCGCCTTGAGCGCCTTTCAAGAGGAAGCACAACTACTAGAAGTGAGGTACCAATACAATGCAATCCGCCGAGTCAAATCGAGTTCGCAAGTTTAAATCTAGGCTAAGTCTCGACTGAGTCCGAGCCCTATGTTTGTGCATAACCGAGGACTAATATTGCCGGCACATTGTGCCCAGGTTGCGTTCCGAAATTCGCGACTGCAAATTTCGACGGCACTTGATTACCCCGGTTTTATATTGACCAAATTTGACTCCGGGCGACTGCCCGAGTCCGGTCGAGCGAGATCTACGGCAAATTATACTAAGTCATTAGGGTGTCACTACCCTATGCTCAGGCCTAGATCTCAACAGTCCCCCACACACTAATAACTACGCAATTCCTATGTCCTTCCTGCACTTGGAGAACTTCCCTGGAGTCAGCGCCTTGGTCATGATGTTCGCCTTCATGTCCTCCGTCCCGCAGTACGCGAATCCAACCTCCTTGCGCGCCACCCGCTCCCGTGCAAAGTACAGTAACACGTTAATGTGCTTCGACCGCAATATTGCGACCGGATGCTTTAGGAGCCGTATTGCCCCTTGGTTGTCGCAGTTGATTGGGACCGTGCCAAGGCCCAACCCCAAGTCTCCCCCGAGCTTGCAAAACCACAGCGCATCCTTCACCGCCTGCGCCGCGCTCATGTACTCCGCCTCCACCGTGGACACCGCCACCGTCGGCTGCAAACGGCTTGACCAACTCACCGCTCCCCCGTACATCAGGAAGACGTACCCCGTCGTGGAGCGCCTCGAGTCAATGTCCCCCGCAAAATCCGCATCGCAGAACACCTCAAGGAGCTCACCGCTCCCCCCAAAGGTTACCCCGGCCTCCGCCGTCCCCGCCAAATAGCGCACCACCCCGAGCGCCGCCGCCCAGTGCGCCTCCGTTGGCGCGCTTGTGTAGCGCGCCAGTGCCCCCACGGCCTGAGCAATGTCGGGCCGTGTGCACACACTCAAAGAGAGCAAGCTTCCAATGAGCTCGCTCTAGGGGAACTTCGCCGTGTCAAGCGGAGTCCCATCCCTCGTCAGCTTCTCCCCCGTACCGAGGGGAACCGAGCGCGCACGCGCGCCCGCCAACCAGTGTCGCCCAAGGAGCTTCCCCGTCTGCTTCTTCTGCGTCAGCTTCAGGGTGCGCGCCTCCCGGTCGCGCGCCAACTCCATCCCGAGGAAGTAGGTCGCCTCCCCCAAGTCCCTCACGTCGAACGTCCGCGCCAGGTGCGCCTTCACTTTTGCCACGCGGTCCTTCCCACGAGTGGCGATGAGGATGTCGTCCACCCAAACGAGAAGGAAGACCTCCTCCCCGTCGACCACCCCCAAGAAAAGCGCCGCGTCCGCCACGGACGCCCCAACTTCAAGCAACCCGAGCTCCTCCTTCAGACGCAGGTACCAAGCCCGCGGCGCCTGGCGCAACCCGTAAAGGGAGTGCTTGAGGAGGCAAACCATCTCCGGCCCGCCTTGCTCGTACCCCTGCGGCTGCTGCATGTAGATCCTCTCCTCCAACTCGCCGTTGAGGAACGCCGTCTTGACGTCGAGTTGGTGAAGCTCTAGGTCACGCGCCGCAACCACCACGAGAAGCGCCCTCAAGGTTGTGTGCTTGCTCACCGGGGCGTAGACCTCCTCGAAGTCAATTCCTTGCTTTTGCATGTACCTTTTCGCCACCAATCGAGACTTATACCGCTCCACGTTCCAAGCGCATCCCGCTTAATCTTGTAAACCCACTTCATGGGAACCGGCTTCACCCCCTCCGGTTTTTCGACGAGCTCCCAAGTCCCGTTCTCCAACAAAGACCGCATCTCCTCGTCCATAGACAACCGCCAGAGCTCTTCTCCCCCTACGGCTTCCTGATAGCTTTGGGGCTCCGGGTGCTCCCCCGACCCCTTTGGCGGGTTATCGCTAACCCCTTCCGCCGCGAGGTTAACCCTAAAACGCTCCGGCGATCTCCTCTCTCGAGGGGGGTTTCTCCTCGCCCCCAAATCCGCCGGGGTGACCACCGGCTCTTCCACGACTTCGCCGCTCTCATCGGCGCCCTCCATCAAAACGGACTCCTCGCTCCCGGTGCCGGCCTCCCCCGTAGGAGTAGCCCCTACACCGGGCTGAGTGCCGGCCTCCCCCGTAGGGGTAAACCCTGCACCCATCTGAGTCGGGGAGCTCACACGACTAGGGTCGCGAGCACCCCCCTCCTCCTTCCCCGGGGCGGAGCCAAGCTCAACGACCCCGGAGGGCCCCCGCTCGTCCACAACGACGTCCCGGGAGACAATCACAACTCCGGTCCTCTCCTTCAAGACCCGGTAGGCCTTCGCGTTCGGCACATACCCTAGGAAGACCCCCCGTTCGCTCACCGGCTCCAACTTCTTCCGGTTTTCCTTGGGGACGTGGATATAGGCCCGCGCGCCAAACACCCTCATGTGGCTAAGGTCCGGCCTCTCCCCGTAGAACATCTCATACGGGGTCTTCCCGTGCACGCTCGAGGGCACCCGATTCCGGGTATAGTTAGCGGTCACCATCGCTTCCGCCCAATACTCCCCTCCCAAGCCGGCGTCCTCTAGCAAGGCCCGTGCCCTTTCCTCAAGGGT